ATCAAAATCCCAGAGGATGTTGAAATTCCCTCGGACATTTTTTTAGATGTTGAAATTCCCCCGGACATTGATTTAGGTATGAAAAGTAGGACATATCTAGGGAAAAAGAGGACATCTGGTCACCCTACCATATCAAGAATTTCGGAGTTTCAGAGAGTGAGTGCTTGTTGCTATGATGCGTCTTTGCTCAGCAGCACCGCTCACTGTAAACCAACCAATCAGCGCACAGCTCATCTACATTGTGTGCAGAATTATTACATCAACACCCTATATAAAGTGTGCTTAATTATAAGGCAACATCCTTTCCTTTGGCAAAATGGGTCAGAAAAGAGATCTGACAATTTTTGACTTTCCAGAGTTTGTCAGATGTCTTTCAGAGGGATGCAGCAGTTTGGAAATTGCCAAGCTTTTATTGGCTATATTACGTATAATAAAAATTTAAAAATCTCCAAAAATAGAGTTTAGCATAAATTCTGAAAGTAAGAGTTGTAGTCTGAACTAGATGAGATTATCTATGTGTGCTACATGTTTGGTGGCACTACAGTGATCTAAACTGTAATTACTGGCTATTATAAGCTATTAATAACAATGAAAAAAATCTCCAAAAATACAGTTTGGCCTATCTTTCCAAAGTAAGAGTTGTAGGATACACAGGTAACCTCATTTAGTTCAGATTACAAGTTTGGTGGCACTACAATTATCTATAGTGTAGTCATTGCTCATTTTATATATCTAATAATATCTAATAATATCTATAATATCTATATCTAATAATAAAATAGAGATGCCATTTGTCATTTAGGCTTTGGGAAATTCCTCAAAAAAGTATTATTTTCGAATCCAATAAATGTGATAATTATCCACCTCTCCTTGGTGACCGTTTTAAATATTTCTCTCAGATTTTTTTGCAACTTGCAGGTGGTCCCTAAGCATTTGAGGAGCAGCGAGCTCTGCATAGGTCAGATGTAAATCTCCCAGCGATAGGAGACTCGTTTTGAGGAAACTACTGTTGTAGCTCACTGTCTGCCTTGCTGTTACGGAGAGGTGTCTGTTTGGTAGAATAAATCATCCGCGGATGAGTCATTAATCCGTAAAAGCCAAATCTGTGAATATATTGCCAACTTTACTGCAGTCTCACGATGCCTTCTCTCCACTCCTCTGCTGCAGCGGAGGAAAGAGGAGAGAGAGAGAAGAGATCGCCTGAGTTATATTTACCCCCTAATAAATAGGTCAGATGGTCATTATTGTATAAATATTGTTGCTTTCTACAGCGTACCAGGTAGGGGTG